ACAAGATACATGTATTCATTTAACAGTACTCTTTGGGTCCCAGATATAAAGAAAGCTTTTAATACAGGACTTATTTTCCCTGGTATAGATCTAGAACTAAAAGTTTAAAAGAAATAGCTTCATTTCAATGCCTGAAAAATACAAGACCTTCAGGATAGGGAAAACGACACTTTAAGAATACATACTATGTCTGAATACAAATATATTTCAAAGCTATTTGACATTTTTTTGTTTTCCTTCAGATAACTCCAGAATCCACTTCAGGATAGGGAAAACCAGAAGACAGCTTTGTCATAAAAAGATCATCAGAAGGTAGCATACACATCTTTTCCTCAAGTCTTTTAAATGGATACCATAATTAATAAGTAGCTCCACTCCAGTTGTTTTACTTTTGCCAAGAGCATTTTTTTAGGAAGTACAACTGAAAAATTGCAATGGGGGGAGAGGTAAAAGCACATTATCAATTTACAAGAAGCTATAGTGGTTATAAAGCTATTAGAACACAGTATATCTTATGAAACAATACCTTCTCTGGCCTTCCATTGAGTCCACCTGATGGTAACTGTCGTTCACAAAGCCACCAACCGAGTAAATCAGAATTTACTTGATGCAACTGGCTAGTAATAGCCAGAAATCCTGTGCAACAATAGATCTAAAATTACAGACATAAAGTACATGTGTATAATAATTTTTCAACAGTAACGTAGTGATAAAAACTACTCAATTAAAATGCCATTTTATGTCTAGCTTTCTACTGACAAGTCAGAATTGCAGACACATAAATATCACATTAACTATGTGAACAAATCCAAACATACTAATTCTAGGATACAATTCTGCAATGAAATACTACTGTCAACATTTCCTCATGGCTAAAAGCCAAAAATTTTTAAAAGATTTTATTTTTAGAATACCCAACATGGGGTTCAAACTCACAACCCCAAGATCAAGAAATATTTTTTTTTTAAAGATTTTATTTATTTGACAGAGAGAGCGAGCGAGAGCAGGAACACAAGCAGGGGGAGTGGGAGAAGAAGCCAAGGCTTTTCGCGAAGCAGGGAGCCCAATGTGGGACTCGATCCCAGGACCCTGCTGGGATCATGACCTGAGCTGAAGGCAGACGCTTAACGACTGAGCCACCCAGGCGCCTGCAAGATCAAGAAATCTTATGCTCTACCAACAGAACCAGCTAGGTGGCTCTAAAAGCAAATTTTACTGGACAACTATTTACAGATACAATGTAAATACTAAATACTATTTAAAAATACAATTTGCCTCTCTGGCACAAGCAAATAGGTGTTCAGGATAGGAATAAGGGAAAATAAAAATATATCTTTCGTGATAACGAACCTACTTATGTTTGCCTGGGCCAGGGGCTTCCACCAACAGGGAATGTATCTAAAACTACTGTAAAAATGCCTTTATCTGCATTTAAGCAATTCTTATGTAATATCCCACATTACATTACATTTAAGTTAACTTCAGTCATATGTAACAGACACTGAAACTGCAATTAATCTATTTTCCCAGTTTATCACTTATCCCTTCAAAACTGTCATATTTTAATCTGCATTAATAAATTACCTGCCCAGCATGGGATTCAGAACCTGGCCTGCAACCAAATCCACCATCAAAGTTCATACACGATAAAACAAATTCAATTGCCTTTTCCACATTAATAGCATCTAGTTTCCCCTACAAACAGAAAAAAAATAAGCCTATTGAATTCCAGAATAATCATGGGCACTTAATTATTCCAATACAATATTCAAAACTTACCAACAGGGCCAAGGTTGCCACCGCACAAAAAGAAAATCTTGTATCAATTTCTCCTAAAAGAAAAAGGAAATCAAATAAATTAAGTGTTACCAGAGGCATCTGATCCTCATATATAATGCCAGTTAACTAAAAGCAAACTGTACAACTGCCATGTTTAAATTTCCATGAGTTCAAGCTTAACATTTACTTTTAAATCACCAGGAGGAAAGCTGAATCTAAGTAAAATCACTTCTAAGGAATCCAAGAACTAGAAAGTTTTGTCAAAAATACAGCAAATTATCTTGTTGCTTAGAGCACCCCGAAAGGGAAGGTAACACAGAACCAAAATGACTATTCAATTTCTAATAATGACAATAAACTTACCCTACTATATAAAAGTAGATTTTCACATCCCATGAGGCAGCTGGTCTCTCTGGCCTGCACTGTATTCAGCCCTAAAGCAGAGATTATCTACATTTATCAAGTATAGTACTATCCCCTCCCTCCACTCAAATATCCAGTAAGTTTGTAAAGTTTTTTGAATATTTCTCCCTCTCGAGTAGTTTATATTAAAAAAAAAAAAAAAAAAAAAAAAAAAAACTTTACAAAGCCACCAAATATTGGGGGAAAAAATTTCACCTACCTCAAATTTTAGACTGGCCCCCTCTGTTCCAGTTCTCCTGTATGCTGATATAACTAGCACAGTGCATGCTGGAACTTCCAGCAGACCATTTAACTTCAGTTAAGACCAGCTGCTTCGTGGGACCTGAAAAGATCAAAACCTTAAAAATCTCCTTTAATTATTTGCAAAGCCTCCAATTCATTGTATTTAAAAACTTTCAACAAACCTTATCACTACAATAAACACCAAAACAGAGTTTTTAATATTGCTATTTTGGATAGCATGGATTAGACTGACATTACCCCAAGTATCTCCAGCAAACGAACCATCCTCTTTCTGTAGACTCTGAACATATTCCACAACTTTATTTACATCAATAACATTAACACTATCATACAGAGTAAGAATCTGTAACAAAAACAAAACAAATTAAATACTTCAACACGCTAAGTTTGTTGTAATGATGTTCTTCCTCAACTACCTTTTAAATTGTCAAGCAAGCATGTCCTTTTGTCTATGCATATTGTGGCCTTTTTGCAAACATGCAGACTATCTTCTACTATGCCACAGGCATAATCAACAAACCCAAACCAGTAACAGAATTTACTTCCTCCATGTAAATTGCAGCTTAGTATTCCAGAACTTTTAAATATACTAACTTACATATACAGAAGTAGACTTTAAAGCCACAATTGTGGATCTTCACTATTATCAAAATTAAAACACTTAATTCTACCTGGTGATTTTCAAATTATTTATATATACTGAAGACAAACATTTTATCATTCAAGGTCTCAGTGTAATTTTACAATTTACATCAACTTTGGATTCAGCTAATACATGCCATCACATCATTGACCTTGTAGAATACAGGCTTCATTTAAAAAGATTAGGGAAACTTTTTTGACAGACACCAATTTTATCATGTTCCTAATACCCAGTGTAATTTCTCCATTCTCAGGTTAAGAGAACACACTACCAAGACTGTTAAATTCTAATAAGTATTTACCTGGACAGCACTTAGAGTGTACAAAAGATGAGGGTCATGTCCGATACTAGCACTTATTCCACCACACTCGTGTTGACATGACTTAATAAATGTCAGAATTTCTTCTCTATTCATCCGATGTAGTTGTCCCATGAGATCCATTACAGTCAGACCCCAATAGATACCACTCATTCTCAAATACTCAGACATACAGTATTCCTAAAATACACAATTATTTTAATGTGCCAGTCTGAATTGACGCAGGGTTATTAAAGTGATAGAATACATAAAAACTAAATAGCCACACTTATCGTTTAATTCAATTGATTCTAACAACGGTATTTATTTTAAATTTGTGGCTATCAAATCTGGGGGTGGGGAGGGGGTAAGTATCTGAGATGCATATGATAAACTCACCTGCGACTAAAACAAATAGGATTTTAATCTCTCCTAAGAGCCAACCAGAAGAGTAAGTCAAAAATATACCAACTTTTTTCAAGTTTGGGGACAGAGTATTTCTTTCAGAGTACCTATATCATATTTATCAGACATCCACTCTATTAATATATGGACTATGTACAAAGCCTATCTACTACCTATTAATAAATGGTACAATGACCTGAAAACCAAAACAGCCAAGGCATGCAAAAATTAAGATGAAACAGCTAACAGTAGCTAATCAGACATAGAAACTGGTACAGAGACTAGATCAGAAATAAATTTTTGCTAATCACCAATGCATTACATGTTAAGGTTCTGAATCAGGTGAGTAGTCTTAGGGAATTTAACAAGTCACAAACTGATCAATACTAGAGGTTTCCCAAGATGGTAAATTCAGTTGTTTGGACACTACAGGGAAAAATATTTACTTTCAGTTTCATTACTTTTTTCTAAGATAGTCCCAGAGCGGAAAACTACTCAAGGTTTGAAACTTAAGGTTGAACTTTTTCAAGGTCTCAGCGTAATTCTAGAGCTAAAGTGTTATTACACATCAGCCATATATTCAGGTAATACATGCCAACACATCACTGACCTTGGAAGTAATACCTCAAGTACAAAAATACGAATCTCTTCTGTACCTCAAACCTCTTAAATATCGGGGCAGATGGGGAATCTGTTTTGTCTGTCAAAGCCTCTGAGAACCATGGTTAATTCTGCTAGACCCTCAACCTCAGCTGCACTTCATGGAAAGAACTTCGGTCCTTGGCATGGAGGAGTTATTTTTAAGAAACATGGACAAAAAACAAAACGGGCCACAAATACTGTTTATGCATAATAGCCTCATTTCTTCAAAATAAAACAAACTTTCAACATGAAATCATACATACATAATCATCTTTCTTTGAGCCATAGGACGCGATATAATCTGCATGCTTCTCTAACAATAGCGTATCAGGCGCATCTGACTTGATAATAACATCCTTCTGCGGTGTGCCCTTTCAAAATAAAAAAGCAGTTACTTCGTACTGTTCATTTCTTTAATGCTTGACCACAGTGTATATATTCAGTATACAACTGAACTTTTCACTTTGATTCCATCTTGCCACACAGAAACTTTCTACATAAAAACTGCCAAGTATCTGACCAGAAAGAAATTAAGCACTAAAGCCCTTGTAATATTCGGGTATTTTTCAGGTCTCAGAGTAATTCTAGAGCTACAGTAGTAATAATCAGCTTCAGATTCAGAATACATGCCAGCTCATCATTGACCCAAAAATTACCCTCATCTGTTGTCGCTTATCTTTCACTTAAAGTAAAATAAACACCACAGAAAATCCAATCTTACCAATTCAAAACTTAGTTTATATGCAGCAGAAAGTTGAAGCAATAAAACATTTATAAAATACAGCTAGCCCGTAATTTGCAGTAAAGTTCTTTAATGAAATCTTATTAATCCTAGATTATTCAATTTATCAGTAAGTTCCTTTAGCCTCATCTTCTCCAGCTTTAGTCTTGGTTTCTTCATTTGCAGGAAATGATGCTGCTTTAGTTCCCCCCATTTATTGTAATCGAGACAGCATTAAACTCATTTTAAGTAGGTCATGACGATTACCGGAATTTAGTGAATTTCCATCAGATACCACTTAAAATTCACTGCATCTTCAAAGACCACATATATTATAGATTTTGAGCCATAAAATACAGAAAGGAAAAAAGAACCACCGGCTGGCCCGGCTTTTTTGAGGAATTAAGAAATCGGGCCGTTGAACCTTGAGGCCTGCCTCTTGGGAAGAAGCCTAGATAAAATTAGAAGCCGTACGTGAGCCCGCGAGGTCTGCAGAAAACGCTGAGTAATACTTCATCCTCTCTAGGCCCTAAAGACACCGTCCAAGGCCAGTGTCTTAACCCAACCGTTCTCCAATACTTGCTAAAGAATTAGGGTGACTGAGCTGCTAAGTATTACTCCACCTACAAGGCATCCGGGCAGCCACAGCTCAGAACAACCTCACTCACCATGTCTGAGACCGAAAAAAGAACTTCGGGTCGTCCCTGGGTGGATTTAGACGGCCCGCGCCTGCGCATAAGCTCCCCCCAGGTCCCTTCCGATCACCGGCATAGCTGACCACACTCCCGCCTGTAGGAAGGAACGGTTGCTTGACTGCCCTAGGACCCCGCCAACTGCTGATAGCTGTCCTCGCTGCCTGAGCCCAAATTCTCTGGCGCTCATTTTCTCCTCCTGTATCTTAAAGTTTTAAGTAATATTTAAATATCTGAATTACTTTTTAAAAAAAAATAATTTGTTCTGAGGCTCTTTGAGCTCTGGAGTTCTTGGGGCACCTGGATGTCTTCGTCCTTAAGTGTCTGCCTTCAGCTCAGGTCATGATCTCAGGGTCCTGGAATCGAGCCCCGCATGGGGCTCACTACTCCGGGGGAACCCTGCTTCTCCCTCCCCCGCTCCCCGTGCTTGTGTTCCTGCTTTCGCCGTGTCTCTCTCTCTGTCAAATAAACAAATAAAATTTTAAAAAAAGAAGAAAACAACTCGAGTTCTGAAGTGGATGGTAATTAGTAGAATTCTTGCATGTAGGAAGTGTTCAGTAAATGTTTTTTGAGTGAATGTTAATAAAATATTCACATTTCCCTCCTGTTTGCCTTCTCGGTTCCGTGACTCTCTCACTCCCTTAACTTCTTCCGCAAGTGCTACTAGCTGGAAGTTTTGTAAATTATTTTTGAAAGAGAAACATCCATGTTCTTTTCACAAGCTTTCCACTAAGTTCAGATTTGTTATTACAGCTATTTTCATTTGTGCTTCCTTAGGTCCTTCATACTCAAGTTTTTGAGCACCCATTAGAAAATATTGGCACCCCATACCCTTACAATTTGTTATATTCAGTAACGATTTGGAGAAGGGTTCCTGACACAGTGACATATATGGGCTATCAATAATCAAGAGTGTTGAATCTGCTATTATGATAAATTTCATTTTTTTCTCCCTGTAATTGATATTCCCATTTATAGTTTGAAGCTACTTTATTAAATGCATGTAAGTTTAGCATCTATTTCTGGTGAGTTGATCCTTTTACCATTAAGTGATGACTGTCTCTAGCCCTAATACTTTTTGTCTTAAAAAAAAGTCTGCCCTAAACACCTGGATGACTCAGTGTGTTAAGGCTCTGACTTAAATTTATAATTACGTAAGAGATCATATTATATTTCTATTGGACAATGCTGCTGTAGTCACTGAGCTTCATGGGAGCTGTAGCTGTGTCTGCTTTGGTCACCATTACAGATTATGTAAATGAAAAAAGTTTTTCTTTACCTACAATTTTGTTCCAAGCCCATATTGTGACTATGAACATAGTTTCATTAGCATTCAGCATCTAAACTGTTTCTAGTCTGTTCTAACATCTTTATGTCCTGGAATAGCATTTCCAGGACAAACAATACCATATTTTACCTAAGATGTCATTGATTATAAGATACATCCCAACTGAAAAGATAACAGATGTGGACAAAAAACAGCCAATGGCTATTAACATAAACTTTATCTAGATTTTTGAGATGTTAAATATGAAAAAATGTGCATTTTGGAATCAATGAAATATAGTAACTGAATCATTCTGAAATATCAAATGTAGAAGCAAAATATTATATGCTCCATGCTCCATGCCCCATATCCCACTTATAGAAGTATATTACTTTCTAAATATTGTATGACATTTCTGATATCTCTACTCTTCCATTTTTTTATTCCGTTCAAGCAAATAAAATCTTGTCTACAGTTTTAGAGTTGCATGCCTTCCTAATTAAGTAGTATCAAAAGGAACTGGATAGGTAAGATGCAGGTATACAAGGAGTAGAATTCTGAAGCCATTTATTTTTTAAGATTTTCTTTCTTTATTTGAGAGACAGAGAGTTGGGGAGGAGGAGAGGGACAAGCAGACTTCATGCTGAGCTGGAAGCCAGCTCCGGGCTCAATCTCACAACCCTGAGATCGTGACCTGAACTGAAATCAAGAGTCGGATGCTTCTTTTAGGTGCAAAACAGTATCTTTATTTGCAACAAGAGTTGATATTTGTCTAGAATACATTATAATTTACTCTGTTTTGTAGTGAACTGCCATTTCCTTGTTCACTTGTGTTTTTCTCTTGCTAATAGGGTCTATGACGTGGTAAATATATGCTATTTATTAAAGTCTACTGAGACAGCTCAGTTATATATATGGTTTATATTTTTGTGATATGTGATTTTATGCACTACTACTTAGCTATTACAGTCTAATAAAAATATGGCCAATTAATTTTCCTTCTTAAAGCTCTGTACATTAAAATATGTCTGCTCTTTAAAAAAAAAAATAGAGTCAAATGTTTAAGCGACTGAGTCACCAGGTGCCCCTGAAACCATTTAGAAGAAACTTTTCAGATAAAGTTGGAGATGAAAAACTTTTACTAACACAAAATCCTGAGGTGGGGGAATGGGCTAAATGGGTGATGGGTATTAACAAGTCACTTGTTGTGAAGAGCACTGGGTGTTGTATGTAAGTGATGGATCACTAAATTCTATACCTGAAACTAATACTATACTGTATGTTCACTAACTACAATTTAAATAAAAACTTGAAACTAAACATAAAATATATATATAAAATCCTGTTAATTATGAACTGTAAAAATGACCTTGAAGTTTAGCTGTTTAAAACAATATTTGAGACATCTAGGTTTTAAGGTTTAAATTGGTTTTATTTACTTATTTTTATTTTTTAAATTTTATTTATTTATTTGACAGAGAAGAGAGAGAGGGATAGGGAGAGAGCACCAGCAGGCAGAGCGAGAGGGAGAAGCAGGTTCCCCACGGAGCCGGGAGCCCGATGTGGGGTTCAATTTCAGGACCCTGGGATCATGACTTGAGCCAAAGGCAGACACTTAACCAACTGAGCCACCCAGGCGCCCCTTAAATTAGTTTTAATGTCATATTGGTTCCCTCCCAGATTAATGACTTAAAATGTTTCACATGTGTTTATTTTATATCTATATGCATCATGATTTTACCATTCTGAAAATTATAACTTGTCAGTTTTAGGAGTCATCTACTTAGATTAGATATCCAGGTAGATCAACAGATACAGCCAAGTAAAGTGCCTTGCTTGAGCACAGCATATCAAGATCTACTTAAGCTGAGGCACAGCTTTTCTTGGCATTCAGAGTGATTCTCATGTGGCAATAAGGACCTTTTGACGCTATTTGCATAGGTTTTGCCCTCCTTACCGTTTTTGTGTTTTGTTTTCGTTTTTACGTCAGGCACGGCTCCTAAATTAATCTTCACGGTGGCAATGATTAGGGTTTTTATGATCCATTTGGTGATCTCTGTCAATGAGAGAAATTTATTCTCTCCTAGGTGAGAGATGACAGGGAATCTGGTTTGTTCATCCTTGTCTTTATATGAGAGAGCTCTAAAGAGTTAAGAATTTAATACCTGTTGGGAAGAGGAACAGCTCTTTGGGATCTGGATTGGCAAATTTGCTTTTGGACTGTGGCTAAAGCTGTTTTAGATCTGAAAGTTTTAAGTGCTCAGTGTGTCTACACGTCTCTAATTGAGAAAGGCTTTTGCTTCTCATTGTACACCTATGATATGCTTTCCTACTTCTGAAAAGTATAAATTAACAGATTAGATTGTGCCTCATATTAAAGAACTCTGTTCTGATTGGTTTATAAATAAGCACTCATATAAATGGAATAGTCCCCAAATTACCAGAAAATTTAAAAAATTAACTTCTTTTTTTAAAGATTTAATCTTATTTATCTGTTGTGAAGATTTATTTATTTATTTTAGAAAGAGAGAGAGTGTGTGAGCAGGAGGAGGAACAGAGGGAGAGGGACAAACACACTTCCATGATGAGCATGGAGCCTGATGTGGGGCTCAATCCCAGGACCCTGAGATCATGACCTGAGCCGAAATCAAGAGTCAGCCCCTTCACCAACCCAGCCATTCAGGCTCAGTTGGTGATAAATAAAATGAAAATTTTGATTTTTATAAAAATGATATTAAAGTGACATAAAAATAAAAATTTTATTTTTATTTAAACATTTTTAATTTTTTTATTAAGTAATCTCTATACCCAATGCGGGGCTCAAACTCACAATCCCGAGATCAAGAATCACATGTTCTACTGACTGAGCCAGTCAGGTGCCCCTAAAAATTAACTTCTAATACTTTGAATGAGCTAGAATTTTTTTAAGGATTTTATTTATTTACTTGAGAGAGAGTGCAAGAGAG